GATATATTGCTGTATTTGGCAGTAGTTCACACATGCTAACTCTTTATTTGGAGGTATTTAATGACCATCAGTCGTAAGCATAGTCCCAGTGTTTGAAATTCCAATCATCCAACAAATCCAGTATGGTCGTGTCCAGAAGTTAACCCACAATTAGTAAAATGTTGGCAAAAGCACAACCTATATTGCCCTTAACCGAAAATGCCTAACCCTAACTTAGCTTAACAAGCTAACCCGTGGCTACAATTAGCAAGCTAGTTAAGAGGAGGCAACACATTATCAGACCACTTTGGAGATAGGAGAAGGCCCCTTTTTCCTCTTTTGGACGAAGTTAACAGGCTTACCCCAAGCTAGCAAGCTAACAAGCTAACAAGCTAACTTGTATCAGACCACTCTAAACAGGAATTATAGATTATTCAGAAGTGCCGTATACCTTTTTATACAAGAGATCGCAAAAGTTATTTTACATTTTTATTTCCTTGAGATTCACACATTTGTTTTGCGCATTTGTTGACCTTCCAATTATTTTGCAATGGTCCCAAGTAGTCACCTTGATTGCATGACCATTACAGTATTAATTTCCACGTGCCTGTTTTATTTCTCTCTTCACACTTTTGATGTAATTGCTGGAAGCTGTTGGAGCTTTCTTAGTTCCCCTGAAGGATGACAGCAAAGCAGATAACAGGTTAATAACAGAGGATTGTGGTTAGTCTGATAGACAAGTAAGAATCATACCCATACGTAATTAATATTACGTAACACTTCATCACAACATGAGCAGTTTTGAGGGGATTTATTTTCTGAATAGCAAGCTTCGTTGTCTACACAGTATGTTCTGTCAAGTTAAGCCTTTATAGTTAAGTGAAATTGAGTGAGGCCACTAAAAGAATCTTACTGAATATACATTTCGTATATTTGTTTCAAGACAAAAGGGAATCTCTGGGTGCACTGGAAACAAGAGGACATATAAAACCTCTCATTGTCTGGTCTTTAGGCGGTGTGTACTGTGTGTATTTTTGTGTGTGTGCATGTATGTGTGTGAATGATTGTATGCAAGTCTCTCAACATTGATCACAGCCAAGGCCGGTGCTTCGTGGCCAGCCTGTGAGGTTACCATGGAAACCAGTCCACCGCTTAGGAGCCGCCGAGAAACCAAACACCCTCCAATCAATAAGCTTCTTGAATAATGGGGTCGTAGACACACACAAAAACAAAACACAGACACACACACCCAGCAGTCTGAGCGTGACTCTGAAGCTCCATCAATAAATAGAAATTCAGCTACTCATTCAGATGGAGTAAAGTGAGGGGAAAGGGTAAGGAAGAGTCTTTTGAAACCCACTGAGACACTTAACTGAGTGTCATAGAGAGAAGTCATGGCAGTTGGCAAACTGCTGAAGAGGGGGATCTGGAGTGTGACTATCAGCTTTAGAAAAGGTTGTGAGAGGAGCACGGAGACTTTGAAATACAGAATACACATGGTGGGTTTTGATAGTGTAAAGAGGACTATATATTTCAAAGCATTATTTTGTTTAAAATGTTCATTAATGTGCATCGTCCCGGTTCAAATAAATGATTTAAAAAAAAATATATATATATATATATATATACTTCTGTGAATATGATAATGTGTGAACATTTTTACAAAAGTAACATCACATTTTTTCTGGGTTAACATTAACTGAGAAAATTCTCAGATAATGTTAAATATTTGTAGGCAAAATAAGACTTTTATAAAGGCGTCAAGGTAAGTGTTAAAAAAAACAGCTTTGTGTATGCTAGCTTGTTACGACCCAAATGTACGTTAATTGTTAGGCGACAACTTTTAGTGGGTAAAGTAATTATGACAAGAGCAAATAAGGTTACTCTGGTAATGTAGTTCAAACACAGGACTTTTTTCAGGGAATTGCTGATTGTGTTAAATCATCTAAATAACGTTAATGACTTTCTTCCACTTTGAGACCTAGTACATTACCAAGTCAGACAGTGCATTACCCGCGTAAAAAACATACATATGTAGCAAATGTACTTATTTGAAAACCAACATTTTATGTTTATCTTGTGTTTTTCCCAAACGTTGCCTAGTTGCCTAGTGCCTATAATTAATTACGTGTCTTTCTCTCAGCAATCACTTCTAGTTTCGGCCCACATGCCTTTATGTTCTTATGTCCATTGCAACATTTAACTCTTTTCCATGTTGTTACTTTCCAGGGAGGAAAGCTTGGTCACCAAACTTTAGATCAGCCTAATAAATATTTAATTTCCTGGTGTTAATTGATTTTGGTATATCACTATGTGTCAATGGGCGTGACCATTATTAATACAGAATTGTATTATTGTGTGACCTTTTCACCGACATGCTTTATTGCATTATCTATTATCAGATTGGTGAAACACTGCACTGTGTTGTTTAGTCTGTGTGAAGCTTCCTTGGCAGATGAAGAGAATAGCATGCATACAGTATATGAAATGACAAGTCACTGTGATGTAGGGAAAGCTGATATTCCTCTGAGAGTGTGTGGGTTTGTAGAAAATACTTCATATAGATGTACAACACAATCAAAAGACTCCTGCTTACACTGTTCAGGTTAAACTTTTGACTTGTTATGCAAGTCTTTGAAAGGGAAAGAATATTTAAGGATACATTTGGATTTAAATGTAGGTACCATACCTTCATCTCATGTTTAAACGGTTGAAAAGAAGTGAGCCATCATCACATTGCCCTGCCGTTATCATGTAACAAAGAACAACTTTATACAATTTTTAAGTGCAGGAATCTACCCTGTCCAATTCAATGTCTTGGAGAGCGAAGATCCGCTGAAATGCCCTTCTGAATGCCAAAATTGCAGAGCTGTTTGTGTACTTGTGGAACAACTGACCTCTCTTGTGTTCCCTTTTCATTTAAAGACTGCACCAGCTGGATGAGTCCTTGTGGTGTTCTTTTAAACTCAACAAACTGTGGTGCAGAATCTTGAACCTAAATGTCTTGATCCACAAGTCTTTTAACTGCAGCTTATTTCCCCTTTTTTATAATTTTAAAGATGAATAAAGAAAAAGACCACCGCCATTCCATACACAATTTGTAGCTACACCTTCAAAAAGTAACGGACCATTATTATTTAATATATAATCCAAGCTATTGCAAACCAGGAACTATGAGAAGTGACACAGAGTCTGGTTTGGTGGTTGGGGTATTTTCAAGTAGACTACTTCTTAGTCCAATTATCCCCAGGTCAATTGGAGTCCTGGCAGTCCTCCCACAATTTGACCTTACCGTTTTTTCAATGCTTTCTCTTGGCTTACATCACCCTTCTTCACATCCACACAGTTGAACACAAACATCTTAGCATTGACCAAACATCCATGGTCTCTTCTGCTGTCAGCAAATAAAAAGATGTCCTGAGCAATTAGGTAGATTGCCTTGTTAAAGAGAACATTGGCATTTATTGCCTCTGCCAAAAGGTTATGGTTTGGTTTGGTATTTGGTTTGTTTGTCTGTTTGTCAGCAGCATTACTGAAGAACTACTGGAAAGCCTTCCCAAGGCTACTACTGCCCTCGATAGGATCTAGTACAACACCCCACATTTACCAAATGTATCCACCAGATCTTTAGACTTTTTCAATGCTATTAAATATAACTTGTGCTGACTGCTCTTTTTCTTGATTTTACAGTCACATCATTTTTTCTGCTCAGTTTGATTAACGTGACTGAAGGCCACAGATGAGAGATGAGGGGAGGAGTGAAAGAACTGGGTTGAAAAAGTAGAGGATTGGAAGTGGGGGAGCCTGAGTACAGAGTGTAATGTAGCATGCTCCCTGAATCTAGATCACTGAACACACTAGTGTTTCTTTAGTAATTTCTTGTAGCAGAGATGGGCTCCCTGGTTTCCCTTCACCATGTCTGTCCCAGTTCTAGCAGCAGTGCATTCACAGTGCTAAGCTAAGACTGGCCAGGTCACAGAGGTTATACTGCAAATGTAGACTTTGGGACAAGTTTTGTTACGTAATAAGTTAGAGTAACAACTCAATGGTGTAAAGTGGTAAGACGGAGATGGCAGTTGGTAATTTCCACTTGGAATTACCCTGTTATTCACGATAAATCCTCAGTAAAATGATCATTCATCGTATTCTGTTATCTGGTTTGTGATGTGGCTTGATTTGAAATAGGTGATATTGGCTTTTAGACACCAACATTATTTGTAATAGAAGTTGTTTTGTTGCCAAAAAATGGCTGTTGAAGGAACTCCATTATCCAAATATCTAAATATCAGTCAATCAACCTGTGAAATATTTATAACTATCAGAATCTAGTTTTTAATCCCATTCAAGCATTTCATTGACTAGGAGTTTGAATATATGTTTAGTTTATTTGACAACAGGATTACGGGAAGACTACAAGCCAGAATTTGGTGGAAGGTTGTAATACAGAACCTATTACATGTTGGACCGGATTGACCTTGAAGTCTGAGCTGTGCCCTTCTGGAAGTGATTAGTTTTTGTCAATTTTAACTTGTATTGCTGTAATTGTGTAGTCCTACTTCATCGCAGTTCTGAAATGTTTCATTAAACCAAGGTGCTGGATAAATAAAGTTTAATACTATTCTATAAGAGCTTCATATTTGTCCAACAAAGAGACATTTATTATGGAATATCATCACAATATTGGAAATATATTCAATTTATATTGAAACCATAGTAAATTGCACCATTATGAATCTTGAGAATCCCATATCACATCTAGTTCGACAGCGAACCATTCCGCCGGTTTAACCGCTGAAGCCCCATGAATATGAAGCAGGATTGAGAAAGACACAAAGAATCCTCTGCGGGATAAGGAGAGGAGGTCTATAGGGCAGGCTGCCGGGGAATATGCGGACTAGACAGCCGATTTGCTTGTAACACAAGGTCCCTACACAGAATTAAGCACGCTCCACTGGACCCGAGTACGAGTCTTGTCCCCGCCCCCCTTTCGACAAGCACAGCATCCATCCTCCTCACGCGCTCACACGCTGCGTGATCCCCATCACAAACTGAGAGCGGCGGCTTTGCTGAGCCGATGGAGTAGTAGTAGTAGTGGGAGTGCTCGCAGCTTCCTTTCGCCTATATTCTCTGCCTTATTTTCTTCAATGGATTCGCCTTTTCTCTGGAATATTGCTTCGACCCACCGCGGTAAGTGTGCGTGGTGTCTGCAGATGCTGTGGGGGGAGAAATACGAGGAAACGCTATTGTCTGTTGCTGAGGCAAGTTCGGACCTTAATCAAGTCACAACGCGGGGTTCTCGTAAGATAAAACGAATCAGAGCTCACTCTCAAAACGGGTTAGTGAACGCACCATCAGAAGGAAATGGGTGTAGAATAGTGTTTTAATGATTGTAAATAATCGATATCGGTATTTTGCACAGACACCTGTCTCTACCAGCAACAGTGACCGCCCTCCACCGCCCAAATTGCGTGTTCCAGTGCTGTGAATCTCCTGTTGTATTGCACTAAGACAAACATTCATGCAAATGTTTCGCCTTCGTTGCAGAGCAAAATGTATCTTCAAGACCAGCGTGAAAAATTCGGCCCCATCTCACCGCCCCCCAACATCTCAGCCAGGGAGGCTCTTCCTCCCCAACCAGCCCCCTTAGACATGGCACGGTGCAGTGGTTGCTTTTCAGATCACTGAAAGACTGAAATCCTATGCTTGTTAAGAAGCCTTTGTGGAAGATGAAGGGTGATTAATTGAGTGCAGCATTGATTTCTTATTCTATCAGATTCAGAAACATGCATATGTATGTGGATCTGCAGGATTGGCCTGAGCTGGAGTAAGACAAAGTGGCACCTTATATTCTATTATTGCTCTTATACCAGCACAATATGAATACAATCCTATATCTGATGCAAACGAAAGGCTTCTTTGTGATGATCTTGGTCTTCTCTCACCTCAATATACTATACGCATTCTGCACACAAGGACAAAATGCATCAGGGATAATTCAGTGTAAGTTGTGCATACAGTTTGTGAATGTGTTTAAACAGTACAGATTTACCTCTTGGATGAATAGCAACACAATTATTTGCAGATTTACAGTTGCAGATGAGCCAAATTATTCAGCAAACCAGTGACCAAACGTTTTCTGGATTCTGTGTAGCATAAATCATGTTGCCCTTAACAATTGTTTTAAAATATCTTCTCATTTGTATTCACTTTTTCTCTTTTTACTGAATAATATTCACTTTATACAGTATTAAATCCTCCGAGTGCCCCTTGGCTGAGCACTGCAAGTAAGATAGTATCACCCTCCCAGAGGCACTACGGTATATTTCCACCAGCTATTTGTACCTGTGAATTTGAGCATTCTGCTGTGTGTGTTTGTTTATATCTGACAGGTGTATTCATGCTCGTCCCTGTAGTCTAGCAGGCAAATAGTATTATTCAGCAGACAGATGGCAGGTGGCTGGGCATCAGGTGAGACTTTTTCTTGGCTGTCAGGTGGGCCTGCCTGATTGCAAGAAACCACTTGGCATGCACCCACCATGCCATCTACATAGTGGCACAACTGTGCATTCATATAGTGTGTGTGTGTGTGTGTGTGTGTGTGTGTGTGTGTGTGTGTGTGTGTGTGTGTGTGTGTGTGTGTGTGTGTGTGTGTGTGTGTGTGTGTGTGTGTGTATGTGTGGTGTTGAGTATGCAAATGAATCCTGCGTGTAAGTGAAGGCACACAGGAGTGCATGTGTATATATTACTCATACAGAATACTTTGTTTTGCTGTAGGCTGTGTGTGTGTGTGTGGTGTCTGTGCCTACCTTTAAAAGGTTATGTCACTTTTGACCAATCATACAGCAAAACAGGCTGAGGTTACAGTGTCATCATCATGGCTGGCAATGATATACTGTGGTGATGTTAGTCTGACATCATGAGCAGCACCAATAATTCATATGTGAGGTCTCACTTTGTAACATCAACATTCGGGTTGGTTTTTGTTCCTAGATTTTATTTTTGATCAGTGATCCAAGTGTTATTATTATGATGTTGCAATCTCAGCAGCTGATTTTGATTTCGTTTTTCTATTATTGACATTTGATTATTGCGTGTTAATACTCGTTTGACTTCAGTAAAATCATTTGGTTAGTCTGTGCAAAGTCCAGTGTCATGGATTAATATTGGATCTTTAGCTGTCTGAAGTTGTGGTAAAACACATTTTGTGGATACCACAGTCGTCATGTGAACTGGTTTACATGTTATTGGAGCTACTTTGTCCCATTTGTCCTTATGATTTATGTAAATTATGATTTATTGCTTGATTTATGTCCTGGGAGAACATCAATATATATTTGATTGATGTTGGCGTTGTTGCTCTCAGAATGGACCTCAGTTTGTACCCTATTGGCAATACTGGGTTTGTAAACACCACAATACTGTTTTAGGATAATGTCCATGTTTATTTTGAACTACCGCTATATTTTATTCAGCTACAGTACTGTTCTGTATCACAGTGTGTTTGCATTATACACAGTAAAGAAATGTATTTTGTACTGTCATTCGAAAGGGTTTGAAACCGTCAATATAAATCAGCAACTATACAAATATCTGTTATAATAATATTTCACTAAAGTGGTCAATTATACACTGTGATATTTCCATTGTATTTGCATTCTTTTTGCTTCCACTTTTAGTCCCGCAAGTCCAGCAGGAAAAATACCTCTGCAAAACATGCTTGTCTTATCATCTCAAATCTCCAAGTAGAGGACACTGAGATGATTGCTTGTGACATAGTAGAGCATCCCATGACATTTATCAAAATGAAATTCAGCTGTAGTGTATGATCACCTCTTCACACATCACATGTGACAAATCCAAACATACACACATCTATTCTAGCTGTTTACACATCTGTTTCTTTGAGCATGCAAAGATGGAATATTGTCCTTAGTACGAGGCAAAAGGCTGTTCTGTAATGTGTAACAAATCACAATAATGACAGGGAGACACCAGCAGATGCTTTTATGTTCTTAAAAAACCATGAGGCGGCCATATAGATGTGTCTGCATTAAGCCCTGACCTCTGTTCTCACGTCTGATATCTAACTCCTCCTCCACTCCCACATCAGAGACTGGTTATTGATCACATGCACACACACATACACACATATAACCCTTTCCACGCTCCATAGATAGCAGGCATTTGATTACCACGAGATGTGGGGGCAGTGTTATTAGAGCATTGGGGGTTTCCTGATTGGGCCATATATCTGTCGCTAGGGTGTCTCTGGGGAATGCTTAGCCCTAAGGTGAGATAAGGCCTGCCTCCGGAGACCGAGGGGCCCTGGCTTTATCTAGAAGGAGGCTGATACATACAGGTGATACGGTGTGATCTCATGAATATTTTTGCTTGGGTTTGCCAGCAGAAATACAATACAGCAGCAACTAATGTGGCTAAACATCTATATTAACAAGGATGCTTGATTCATTTGAGGGGAAAGTGGCATGTTGTTGGCGCCAGTTCACAAATAAACTCAGTATTTGTAGCTTGCCAGAATGCAGTGCGAGCTTCTCAGCCCAGGCTTGTGTATGTAATTAGTTTGAATGGGAGCTAATGGAGAAATACTTACAGCCAAATGTTGTTGCTGGCTGAGAACCCTGGTTTTGTTTGTTGTTCATACATGGTATTAAAAAAGAATTTGAGATCGGTAATTTTACTTATTTTGTTACTTGGTGAAGAGAAACATGATTAGTAGTTGTTTTTAGTGCCTTTCAATGAATCTTCGACCGTCAACATTGGCAGACGTTGCAGCAATATTAATTCACAAATGATTGAATTGAATTTGAATTGAACATCAAATCTCCTGCTGGACCTCCTCAGCATCTATCATACTGACAAGCAGAGGGAAGTAATTTGTCTTCTTTGACTGAACATAAAGCAAGTTTTGGACCACAATTGTGTTTGTGTTGTATCAAAGATTGTATACAACGTTAATGAAAAGACGACTACCGGTAGATAAGAAGCACATTCATTATGAAGTGAGGCAAAGAAGTGTTTGAACTTGAGCTTAACAATTGTGGTCCCCCTGTGGTTTTGTGAGCAGACATAAACATAGTGAGGCTGTAGAGAAATATCAGGAAGGACATACTGATTTCTGAGATCAGCAAAGGTCTAAGTTGTGACACAAACACATGGTCAGACAGATTCCCCAAACACAGTTGGTAGGCATGTCACAAGAACTGATATTTGGAAAACCTGACAGTACTTAATGCTGCAGATACCACAAGTAGAAGTAGAGTTGCATTGTGATACGTTCAAGCTATAATATGTTAAAGAAGGTGTTTAAATGTGGTCTGTTTGTGGGTAGAATTTGAAATAGATTGTTTCACAGTACCATTACATAGATATGATAGAGCAAATTATGACCTTTCTGACTTGTTTGGGGCCAATGAACACTTGTACTTATACTAAGTAAGAGTATCAGTACAACATTTTCTAGACTGTCATCATTTCATTTCATTTTTATTTGTCCCGCTCATGGTACGCAAAACCAAATGTACAATAATTGCCACAAAACATGACTCTACCATTGAGCGAAAAGGAGCAGGGAGAAGAATAAAATCTTATGTGACCTGCCCCTTTCTAAAAAAAACAAAATAAATACAAATAGATGGTCTGCCCTTCATAATAATATTTATTTATTTATTTATTTTTTTCACAGCCAAACATAACAGTATCTTAGGATACTAAGATACTTTTATCATCCAATAAGTCAGAACCAAATAGATGATTCAGAATTCTTTATTTAGTGCTGTATACATAGAAGGGTAGAAGTATTGTTTGGCTCAGTGTTTAATGCCTATATTTTCTGGGAAATCTGCAAAACGATTAGGCTTTTGTGTCTTCTTTAAACAAGTGATAAGAGGTTTAGAGATTTTCTACATACCTTTATTCAAAACTTTACAAAAGCTTTAGTAAAAAAATAGATGTAGTTGTAGGTTAATAATTGAAAGGAGGATAATAAGGAGGAGGAGGCTGCTGGGATGGTTCTTATTAATATTTAGCAAAAAAAATTGACGAACACTCATAGATCAAGAGCTTTTTTGATCTAAAAATAGACTGAAATCTTGAGATGTTACAAGGGCAACTTGGCAATTGACAAAAAAAAAAGTTTCACAGCATCATTCAGCAGTGAACACACCGGG